TGTAGATGGGGCCCGCGCCTTCTAAGAAGCAGGGGTGCTTCTACGAAGCCCTCCCCCCTCCCCCCACCCCCCTCTGCGCGTGGCTCCCTCCTCCCCATCCCCCCTCCCGCCCACCAGCAGGGCACCGCGGCGTGGCGGGCAGGGCGGGGACACCCCCATCGGCAGGGGAGGGCGGCCCAGGCCCTCTCTAACCTCCAGCATGGGAGCCCTCGGAGTTCCTTTCGCTGGTGCTTGAGAGTCGGGCAAGTTGCATTCAGCCACGCGCAGAGGAGGGTGGGGGGAGGGGGGAGGCCTTCTTAGAAGCACCTCGGGTCGGGCGGAGGGGGGGATTGGGAAAGGGGGGGTTACGAAATTTGCTGCATGCAGCTGGTTTCGGCCTCACCGAGGGGCCCATTCCTCGATACATAGCCGCCTCCGGCGCCGGGAGGCGCCGGGAAAATCAGCTACGTGAGCTGATTCTCAAACCCCCTCTTTGCTATCCCCCCTTTCGCCCGACCCGATCTTAGAAGCACCCCTGCTTCGTAGAAGGCGCGGGCCTTGTCTATATATGTAAGGCTGCCGCATTCTAAGAAGCAGCCTCCTTCTAAGAAGCCCTCCCTCCTCACTCCACCCCCTTGTGCGCGCCGCCAATGCATGGAGGGCACGACGACGACCGCCAATGACCGGGCACGACGGCCGCTGGCTGCGCGCCGCTCCACGACGGAGGCTTAGCCATCTCGTGCCATTGCGAAGCCTTACGGCCAGCGCCGCCGACCTTGAAGGGGCGGAAACTCCCCCTGGACATGGCCCCCCGCTGAGACCCCGGGCGAAGGCGGCGCTCTGGCCCAGAACCGCCCCCCCACCCAACCACAGGCAGGACCCCGCCCCTGGATCCCCGCTGGCGACCCCCACGCTGGGACCCGCCAGGACACGGCAACCGCTGGTTTCGCCGACGGCTGGTTTCGCCCAGTTGGTTTCGCCCGGCTGGTTGCGCCGCCCAGCGAAACCACGTGCCTTCGGCGAAACCAGCTTCCGTCGGCGAAACGAGCTTCCGTCGACGAAACCAGCTGCTGTCGGCGAAATCAGTTGCCGCTGGCGAAACTGCCCGATACGACCCGCCCGACCCGGCCCGCCCGCCCGACCCGGCCCGCCCGCTAGGGTTCGCGCGCGTTTGGTCGAGCGCGCCCCGCACTTTAACGCCCCGCCCGCCCGGCCCGACGCGCCCGATAGGGTTCGCGAGTGCTGGGTCGAGCGCGCCGCGCATTCCAGCGCCCCGCCCGCTCGACCCGACCCGCCCGTCAGAGTCCGCCTGGCCCGACCCAGCCCGCCCGCTAGGTTCCGCCTGCCCAACCCGACCCGCCCGCCAGGGTTCGCCCGTGTTCGGTCGAGGGCGCCCCGCATTGTAATGCCCCCCCCGCCCGGCCCGACCCGCCTGTTAGGGTCCGCCCGCCCGACCCGGCCCGACCCGCCCGCTAGAGTCCGCCGCCCGACCCGAGGCGCCCGTTTGGGTTCGCGCGCGTTCGGTCGAGCGCACTTTGATGCCCCGCCTGCCCAACCCGACCCGCCGGTTAGGGTCCACCCGCCCGGGCCGACCCGAGCCGCCCGCTAGGGCCCGCCCGGCCCTACCCGACCCGACCGCCCGACACGGCCCGCCCTCTAAGGCCCGCCCACCCGACCCGACCCGACCCGCCCGCTAAGGCCCGCCCGCCCGACCCAAGCCGCCTCGTTAGGGCTCGCGCGTGTTCGCGGGAGTGCGCAACAATGTTTAATGTCCTGCCCAACCAGATCCGACCGTCAAGGTCTGCCCGCCCGACCCGACCCGACCCGCCTTCCCGCCCGCTAAGGCCCGCCCGCCCGACCCGACCTGTCCGGCACGGTTCGCGCGCGATCGGTCGAGCGCGCTCCGCAGTTTCATGGCCCGCCCGCCCGGCCCGACGCGCCCGTGGCGGTCCGCCCGCCCAACCCGACCTGGCCCGCCCGCGACGGTCCGCCCGCTCGACCCGAGCCGCCCGCAAGGTTTCGCGCGTGCTCGGTCGAGCGTGCCACGCACTTGAATGTCCCGCCCGCCCGACCCGACCCAAGATCAGGGTCTGCCTGCCCGACCCGAGCCGACCCGCCCGCCCGACCCGACCTTCCCGGCTGGGTTCGCGCGTGCTTGGTCGAACGCGCCACGCACTTCAATGTCCCACACGCCCGACCCGACCCGCCCGTCAGCGTCCGCCCGGCCCGGCCCGACCCGCCCGTTCGGGTCCGCCCGCCCGACCCGACCCGCCCGTCAGGGTTCGGGTGGAGCGGGCCAGGTCGGGCGGGCGGGACTTTTAAGAGCGGGGTCCGCCCGACCCGACCTGGCCCGACCGCCCGATCCGACCAGCCCGTTAAGGCCCGCCCGACCCGACCCAACCCGACCCGTCCGCCAGGGTCCGCCCGCCCGACCCAATCCGCCCCAGTAGGGCTCGCACGAGTTCGCGCGAACGCGCCCCAATGTTTGCCCCGCCCGACCAGATCGGACCGTCAGGGTCCACCCGCCCGACCCGACCCGACCCGCCCGCTAGGATCCGCCCGCCCGACCCGACCCGCCCGTTACAGTTCGAACGTGCTTGGTCGAGCGCACCCTCATGTTCATGCCCCGCCCGACCCGACCCGCCCGCGCCTTGAGGGTCCGCCCGCCCGATCCGACCCGCTCGTTACGGTTCGCGCGTGTTTGGTCGAGCGTGCCCCTTTTTTTCAAAAGTCCCGCCTGCCCAACCTGACCCACCCGTTAGGGCCCGCCCGACCCGACCCGACCCGCCCGCAAGGGTCCGCCCGCCCGACCCGACCCGACCCGACCGTTAAGGTCCGCCGCCTGACCCGAGCCGCCCCGTTAGGGCTCGCGCGCGTTCGCGGGAACGCGCCCTGATGTTGAATGCCCCGCCCGACCCGATCCGACCGTCAGGATCTGCCCGACCCGTCCCGTCCCGACCCGCCCGCTAAGGTCCGCCCGCCCGACCCAAACCGTTTCGTTAGGGCTCGCGCGTGTTCGCGGGAACGCGCCCTCATGTTTAATGTCCCGCCCGGCCCGATTCGACCGCCAGGGTCCGCCCGCGTGACCCGACCCGACCCGGCCCGCTAGGCGCCGCCCAGCCGACCCGACCCGCCCGTTACGGTTCGCGCGTGCTTGGTCGAGCGTGTCCGACCCGACGCGCCAGCGCCCTTCAGGGCTGCCCAACAATATTTCGATGTCCCCCCGACCCGACCTGCCCGCGCTCTTTAGGGTCCGCCCGCCCGACCCGATCTGACCCGCCCGTTAGGGTCCGCCCGCCCGACTCGCGACCCGCTCGTTACGATTCGCGTGTGTTCGGTCGAACGCGCCCCACACTTTAAATGTCCCGCCTGCCTGACCCGACCCGCCCGTTGGGGTTCGCCCGTTTGGGTCCACCCGACGCCCGACGCCCGACGACGACGACGACGACGACGACGACGACGACGACGACGACGACGACGACGACGACGACGACGACGACGACGACGGCGGCGGCGGCGGCGGCGGCGGCGGCGGCGCCAACGGCGATGCCGACGGCGACGACGGCGTCGGCGAAAACAGCGCGGGCGAAAGCAGCCGACGGCGAAACCAGCGCCAGCGAAACCAGCGCCAGCGAAACTAGCGCCGGCGAAACCAGCGCCAGCGAAACTAGCGGGGCGAAACCAGTTCATTCCCCGGGGCACCGGGGTGTTGCAGCATTCTGACCCGGGACCAGCCCCCCACCCCTTGGGACCCGTTGGGGCTAAGTCGGGCCTGTCTTTTTACACGGGGAATACTCAAGAAATAGTCAGGGGACGCTGTTTTAACTATGTTTGAGCTTTTTGGGAATATTTGGAGGGTACTTGTATGTTTCGTCCAAAATCTGCCTGCAGCGGGACGTGCCCGACCTAACGCTGGGGCCCTGGGGGAAGGCGGCATTCTGATTGGGAGTTCCCCCCCACCACCACAGGCGGGGCCTTCCACGGGACCCCCGCGGGCGACCCCCCCGGGGACCCGCCGAGAACTCGGGGGGGGGGCGGCATTCTGACCAGGACCCCCTCCCGCGCCCCCCTTCCCCTCGTCAGGGGAGGGGAAGAGGGAATGACATCGATTCAGCTACGACGCTTATTCTCTACAGCTGTGTCCGAGAGCTCGGGCCTCTTTGTTTTCGTCGTCGTCGTTCGTTCGTTCGCCGTTCGTCCTCCCCCTGGCCGTCCTGTCCCTGCCCTGGACTCCTGGACCCAGCCCTCCCCAGCTACCCTCGCTCTCCCCCTGGCCGCCCCCCTGGCCTTGCCCGCTGTGTTCTGCAGCTCGGAAGCCCCTCCTGAAGGAAGGGGGCAGGAGCCTCCTGTCCTTCGCGGCTCCCTGGTGCAAGAACCAGGGCACGCGCGCCGTTTGTTTGTACTATTGAACAAGAGGGGACTGGCGACGACGACGACGACGACGACGACGACGACGCAAGCTGAAAAGCGTGTCACGCAAGCCGAAGGGTCGGCGGATTTTGGAGGGCATCTTGCCCTGGGCCCGCCTTGGAGCCCTTTGGGTCTGTCTTGGAAGCTCCAACCCCTTTCGAAACCTCGGTCCACACCCTATGCGGAGGGACTGCCCCAGATAGAACGCGTCACCCCCTCGTCCGTCCTGGGCCCTTTGGAGTACCTCTTGGATTAAGTCGGGCCTGTCCCTCTGCAGGGGGGCTATTCAATAATAGTCAAAAAGTCCGGGGACATGTTTTAAACACAGTACTGTTTAAAGCATACTGGGAGTATGTTTTTAGTATGTTTAATGTGTCGCCCAAGATCCGCCTGTAGGGGGACATGCCCGACTTCACTCTTGGGCGATCTTGCGGCCGTAAGGACCCATCGAAAGCGGGAAAACGACACAACCCAAATCAGTGAGATCTTCCGTCCGCAGCCACTTTGGCTCAAGGCATTTTCGGATCAAGTTTGCGGTCCAAGGCAAACGCCGAAAACTACACACACCTTGATACTTTCAGACCTCATTCGTACAAGTTCGGATCTGGCTGATGAGCATGCTAGTGAAACTCGCCACCGCGTTTTTGGTAGTCTCAGGGGCAAACGGAAAGGACTTCGACTCCTGCCTGATGCAGCTGGCTGCAAGCCCGACTCAGGCTACAACCGTCGAGCGGCCGCTCGCGGATACCTATGCTCAGTCCTGCCAGTCAACGAATTATGGTACCCAGCAGGTTTTGGTCACCAAGCGCTACTCCGACGGCTGGTGCGGTACTCGATACTCGTTCCTGCAATTCAGCGTTCCTTGCGATGCTCAGGATGCAACGCTCCTGCTGTGGCCGACTGACTATGCTGCTGGTACCTTTCCAAAGGTGGCCGTCTTCACGGTGCAGAACGCGTGGTCGGAAAGCACCACTATTTGGTCCAACCACCCTGGTTGGCAGGAGCAGGTTTGCGATTATCAGGCATACCCAGGCCCAGTCGGGCAGGCGTTCGCATGCACCGTTCCACAGGCGAAACTCGCCGGTAAGAACACCATCTCGTTTGCGTTGGTTGCAGAATGGATGTGGGCGGGGGGGGCAGTAGTTCTTGGTCTCGCGAAGCCCTCGACGAGAGCACCAGACCGTCGCTGGTGTTCCAGTGTCCTACTGCAGCACCCACGACGGCCCCGACGAGCAGCCCGACCTCGTCCCCGACGCCCAGTCCGACGAGCAGCCCGACAAGCAGCCCGACCTCCAGTCCGACCGCGTCCCCGACGTCCAGTCCGACGAGCAGCCCGACCTCCAGTCCGACCTCGTCCCCGACGCCCAGCCCGACGCCTTCGCCGACTGCGGCCCCGACGAGCAGCCCGACCTCCAGTCCGACCGCGTCCCCAACGTCCAGTCCGACGAGCAGCCCGACCTCCAGTCCGACCTCGTCCCCGACGTCCAGTCCGACGCCTTCGCAGACTGCGGCCCCGACGAGCAGCCCGACCTCCAGTCCGACCGCGTCCCCGACGTCCAGTCCGACGAGCAGCCCGACCCCCAGTCCGTCCTCGTCTTTCCCAGGGACGGTGGTGACGAGTTCGGCCGTTGGCGATCTCCATATGAAGAATGTATACGGCGAGCGTTTTGATTTTGATGGCGCCAGGCAACCATGTTCTTATCAACATCCCTCGTGGAGAGCGCGCTGAAAAAGCATTGCTTCGCGTGCAGGCCGATGCACGCCGATTGGGTAAACAGTGCACGGATCTATACTTCCAAGATTTGAACGTGACCGGATCTTGGGCAGAGGCAGAACAAGTCGGAGGTTTTCATTACAGCGCATCGCAGAGCGAGGTTGAGGCTCCTAAGTGGGTTATTTTGGGTAAGATAGAGCTGAAGGTCGTTCGCGGGCATACGGACGGCCGCACGTCGTACTTGAACGTGTACGTCAAGCATTTAGGCCGAGCTGGGTTTGCTGTCGGAGGTCTTCTAGGCGAGGACGACCACAGCGACGCGAGCACGCCAGAGGCTGGGTGCGTGGAACTTGTGGATCTACAGGATCTGCAAACGTTTCGGACTGGCAGTGGCTCCCGACCAGTCTCGACTGCAGAGGCAACATACGCTTAAGCTTGTTTTCCAGCAGGTGTCCTTGTTGTTTCAGTTGCGCAGTAGTTTATGAACAGCGAGGCTGACTGACTTGGATATCAGGAACTGTTCATCGCAAGACACTTTTGCAATCGAGGAAATGATTCACTGCGTGGAGCACCCCATATGTGCATCTATTCGCATGGACCTGTCCGCCGTGAGTGTCTAGGCGCAAGAGCTTTCGAATATAAACGGGTTTCAGTCGTGACGGTCTGGACATGAATCTAATTGCGAATGAATTGGAGTGTGAATGAGCCTCAGTAGTACGAGCGCGTCTTGCGCATGAGCCTGGGGCCTCCTGAAACCTACTGGGGCTTCCTGGGGCCTCCAGGAGCCTCTTGGGGCCTCCTGGGACCTCCCAGGGAGGTTTCGTGCCCCAGGAGAGGCCCAATGTATGATCCCGGGCTCCAGGCCCACGGGCCCCCCTCCCAGATGGTATGGTCCCAGGATTCCTCGGGCCCCCCCCGCGCCCCCCCCAAGATGAAATTCGGCTGATTCTCGATCTGTTTTGGACTAGAGCGTGATCCAGTCTGTTCGAGGTGAACCCATTTCGCCTGATTCACGATTTCGTTTAGACCAGAACGTGATCTGGTCCAGCAGACCTCTTCTTCGTCACAATGGTCTAGATCGGGATCTGGCCCCTCAAGGCCTGTCCAAGGCTGGGGGATCCTCTAAGGCCTGTCCAAGGCTGGGAGATCCTCTAAGGCCTGTCCAAGGCTGGGGGATCCTCTAGGGCCTGTCCAGAGCTGGAGAATCCTCCAGAGCTTGTCCAGGCCTGGGGGATCCTCCAGGGCCTGTCCAGGGCTGGGGGATCCTCTACGGCCTGTCCAGGGCTGGGGGATCCTCCAGGGCCTGCCCAAGGCTGGGGAATCCTCTAGGGCCTGTCCAGAGCTGGGGAATCCTCCAGGGCCTGTCCAGGGCTGGGGGATCTTCTAGGGCCTGTCCAGAGCTGTGTCCAGGGCTGGGGAATCCTCTAGGGCCTGTCCAGGGCTGGGCGCTGGGGAATCCTCTAGAGCCTGTCCAGAGCTGTGTCCAGGGCTGGGGAATCCTCTGGGGCCTGTCCAGGGCTGGGCGCTGGGGAATCCTCTAGGGCCTGTCCAGTGCTGGGGGCTGGGGAATCCTCCAGGGCCGCGCCAGGGCTGCCTGGGGCCGCGCCGGGGCTGGGGAAAATCCTTTAGGGCCGCGCCAGGGTTGGGGAATCCTTCTAGGGTCGCGCCAGGGCTGGGGAATCCTCTAGGGCCGCGCCAGGGCTGGGGAATCCTCTAGGGCCGCGCCAGCGCCAGGGCTTGGGAATCCTCTAGGGCCGCGCCAGGGCTGGGGAATCCTCTAGGGCTGCGCCAGGGCTGGGGAATCCTCCAGGGCCGCGCCAGGGCTGGGGAATCCTCTAGCCGCGCCAGGGCTGGGGAATCTTGCGCCAGGGCTGGGGAATCCTCTAGGCCGCCAGGGCTGGGGAAAATCTTCAGGGCCGCGCCAGGGCTGGGGAATCCTCTAGGGCCGCGCCAGGGCTGGGGAAAATCTTCAGGGCCGCGCCAGGGCTGGGGAATCCTCTAAGGCCGCGCCAGGGCTGGGGAAAATCTTCAGGGCCGCGCCAGGGCTGGGGAATCCTTTAGGGCTGCGCCAGGGCTGGGGAATCCTCTAGGGCCGCGCCAGGGCTGGGGAATCCTCTAGGGCCGCGCCAGGGCTGGGGAATCCTCCAGGGCCGCGCAGGGGGGGGAGTCCTCTAGGGCCGCGCCACCGCTGTGGAATCCTCTAGGGCCGTGCCAGGGCCGTGCCAGGGCTGCCTGGGGCCGCGCCAGGGCTGGGGAATCTTCTAGGGCCGCGCCAGGGCTGGGGAATCCTCTAGGGCCGCGCCAGGACTGGCCCATCCTCCGCGAAATGCGCGCGCGGACTCGCGACTGGACACGGAAACGGTACTTGCAATGGGCCGTTTGGGAGGGGGAAATTAAGGGTTTCTTTTCTGATTTTTCTGGTTTCGATTTTTTCCCTTGTGTCCAACCTGTCCTCCGCGAAATGCGCGCGCGGACGCGCGACTGGACGCGGAAACGGTACTTGCAATGGGCCGTTTGGGAGGGGGAAATTATAGTTTTTTCTGATTTGTCGGGTTCCGAATTTTTCTCTTGCTTCCGACCCATCCTCCGCGAAATGCGCGCGCGGACGCGCGACCGGACACGGAAGCGGTATTTCCGGCCGTCTGGGAGGGGGATTTTTTTTTTCTTTGATTTTTCGAGTTCCGAATTTTCCTATTGTTTCCGACCCGTTCTCCGCGAAATGCGCGCGCGGACTCGCGACTGGACACGGAAAAAGGTACTTGCAATGGGCCGTTCGGGAGGGGGAAATTAAGGGCTTTTTCTGTTCCGGTTTCGATTTTTTCCTTGTGTCCAACCCGTCCTCCGCGAAATGCGCGCGCGGACGCGCGACTGGACACAGAAACGGTACTTGCAATGGGCCGTTTGGAGGGGGAAATTCTGTTTTTTTTTTTTTCTGATTTGTCGGGTTCCGATTTTTTCTCTTGTTTCCGACCCATCCTGCGAAATGCGCGCGCGGACTCGCGACCGGAAAAAAAAATCTGATTTTTCGGGCTCCGAATTTTCCTATTGTTCCCGACCCGTTCTCCGCGAAATGCGCGCGCGGACTCGCGACTGGACACGGAAACGGTACTTGCAATGGGCCGTTCGGGAGGGGGAAATTAAGGGTTTTTTTCGGATTTTTCTGGTTTTCCTTGTGTCCAACCCGTCCTCCGAGAAATGCGCGCGCGGACGCGCGATTGGACACGGAGACGGTACTTTTAATGGGCCGTTTGGGAGGGGGAAATTAGGGTTTTTTTTCTGATTTTTCTGGTTACGATTTTTTTCCTGTTTCCGACATCCTCCGCGAAATGCGCGCGCGGACACGGAAACGGTATTTCTGGCCGTCTGGGAGGGGGAAAATATGTTTTTTGTTGCCTTTGCTTTTTCGGGCTCCGAATTTTCCTATTGTTTCCGACCCGTTCTCCGCGAAATGCGCGCGCGGACTCGCGACTGGACACGGAAACGGTGCTTGCAATAGGCCGTTTGGGAGGGGGAAATTATGTTTTTTTTTGTTTTCTGATTTTTCTGGTTTCGATTTTTTTCTTGCGTCCAACCCGTCCTCCGCGAAATGCGCGCGCGGACGCGCGACTGGACACGGAAACGGCATTTGCAATGGGCCGTCTGGGAGGGGGATCTTGTTTTTCAATGTTCTTTTTGTTCGGGTTCCGATTTTTCTCTTGTTTCCGACCCGTGTTCCGCGAAATGCGCGCGCGGATTTGCGATTGGACACGGAAACGGTATTTTCATTGGGCCGTCTTGGAGGGGGATTTTTTTTGTTTTTTTGGGTTTGAGGGCGTTTTTCTTTTGAGGGGGTGATGCAATTTATTATTTGTGAATTGTTCTCCCGTCCGTTCAGATTTGAGATCGGTCCGTTCTAGATCGTGAATCGGTCCAGTTTAGATCGTGAATCGGTTTGTTTTGCCCTCTCGAATCTGTCTGTTTTAAATCGTGAATCGGTCCGTTTCCGAATCTTGAACCAGTCCGTTCTAGATCGCGAATCGGTCCAGTTTAGATCGTGAATCGGTCTGTTTTGCCGTCTTGCATCTGTGTGTTTCAAAATCGTGAAACGGTCCGTTTCTGAATCTTGAACCAGTCCGTTCTAGATCGTGAATCGGTCCAGTTTAGATCGGGAATCGGTCTGTTTTGCCCTCTCGAATCTGTCTGGTTTAAATCGTGCATCGGTCCGTTTCCGAATCTTGAACCAGTCCGCTCTAGATCGTGAGTCGGTCTGATTCGGGATCTTGAATCAATCGATGCCCAGGGATTTTCAAAAACTATCCTGGGATCACTTTGGGGAATCGATTCCCAGGGATTCTGGCGGTGATCACGGGATCCTTTTCGAATTCCTGGGGATCGATTCCCAGGGATTCCGAGGGTGGTGTGTGTGTGTGTGCGGTTTGGTGGTGGTGTCCCGTGGTGTTTCGTGATGCGTCGTGGTGTCTCGTGGTGCTCGTGGTGTCTCGTGGTGCCTCCGTGCGTGTGGAGTGTGCGTGGTGTAGTGTGGTGTGGTGTGGTGTGTGTGAGGCGTGATGTGTTTTGGTGGTGGTGGTGGTGTGTGTGTATTTGTGTGTGTGTGTGTGTCTGTGTGTGTGCCTGTGTGTGTGTGTGTGTCAGTGTGTGTATATGTGTGCGTGTCTGTGTGTGCGTCTGTGTACGTGTGTGTGTCTGTGTGTGTGTGTCTGTGTGCGTGTGTCTGTGTGTGTCTGTGTTCGTGTGTGTCTGTATGTGTGTGTGTGTGTCTGTGTGTGTGTGTCTGTGTGTGTGTGTCTGTGTGTCTGTGTGTGTCTGTGTGTGTGTCTCTGTATGTGTGGTGTGTGTGTGTCTGTGTGTGTGTGTCTGTGTGTGTGTGTCTGTGTGTCTGTGTATGTGTGTGTCTGTGTGTGTGTCTGTGTGTGTGTGTCTGTGTGTGTGTGTCTGTGTGTGTGTGTGTCTGTGTGTGTGTGTGTCTGTGTGTGCCTGTCTGTGTGTGTGTGTGTGTGTCTGTGTCTCTGTGTGTGTGCGTGATGTGATGTGCTGTGGTGCATCGTGGTGTCCCGTGGTGCCCCGTGGTGTATCGTGGGTTCTCGTGGTGGTCGTGGTGTTTCGTGGTGTCCCCGCGCGCGTTGCTTGTGCGTGTTGTGGTTTGGTGTTGTGCGTGTTAGTGATGAGGGGGTGCCCCTTTCACAGAGGTTTCACAGATCTCCGTTCTGGTCAATATCCTAGGAGGCCTCTAGGAGGCCCCCAGGGGGCTTTGGACAGGTTTTTGAACAGGTGTTTGAAATGCTTTAGAAAGGCTTCTCCTGAGAGGCTTTTGACAAGGCTTCAGAGATTTTTGTTTTTCTTTTAAAAAAAGAAAAGGCTTTTGAAAAGGCTCCTGAGAGGCTTTTGAAAGGCGCCTGAGAGGCTGTTGAGACGCTTTTGAAAGGCTTCGGAGAGGCTTTTGAAAAGGCTTCTGAGAAGCTTTTGACAGGCTTCGGAGACGCTTTTGAAATGCTTCTGAGTGTTTTGAAATGCTTTTGAAAAGGCTTCTGAGAGGCTGTCGAAAGGCTTCTGAGAGGCTTTTGAGAGGCTTTTGAAAAGCTGTTCAGAGGCTGGCTTCTGAGAGGCTTTCGAAAAGCTGTTGAACGGCTCCTGAGAGGCTTTTGACAAGCTTCTGAGAAGTTTTTGGCTTGCTTTTGAGAGGTCTTTGGCTTGCGTCTGAGCGGCATCTGAAAGGCTTTCGAAAGGCTCCCGGGAGGCTTTTGAAAAGTTGTTGAACGGCTTTTGAGAAGTTTCGGAGAGGTGTCTGAGAGGCTTCTGAGAGGATTTTTAAAGGCTCTCGGGGAGGGTACCCTTATGTTGATCGTGTTTGTTGAATGTTCTTGTGCATCCTGGGTCAGGGTACCCTCCGATGTTCTTGAGTTTGGCCTCTTCGCTCTCTCGTTCTCAGAAGGCAGGGGTTCGGGGTTCCTGGTTCGGCTACGTACGTGCGTCCGCGGGGTCGGCAAAAAGACCCTTCTGCGTTCTTTGGTTCCGATGTCACGGTGCGGCCGCTGGCAGCCGCGCGCTCGTTGATGATGGTGGCGCGGAGGCGATACAGCTCGTTACGCTACAGACATCCTCGCAACTCTGGGCTCCGAGATGCCGTTCGGGATGAAGAGGAGGTGGGGGAGGAGGAGGAGGAGCAGGAGGAGAAGGAGGAGGAGGCATGTTTGAACATGCCATGCCAGCCCGCACTGGACGGGCACGCAATCTGCCTTGGAAACCGCAGTGGGTCCAAAAACCCTGTTTGGGGATACTGCACTTTCGGCTATAATTTTTGTCGCTGGCCCGCCCAGTTTTCCATTTTACCCTGTCGCCGATCATTGTTTTCATTTTGATTTCAGCCTTCATTGATTTCGGCTTCCTGGTACATTGAGATCGATACACTCAGCATTGCACTTGCCCGCCACCCAATCAGGTGTTTTTGAAAATGCTGCCATGCGCTACAGCTCTATATTCCTTTTGGGGCTCGTGGGTCGATCATGTTTCTGCGTGAGGAGGGTTCCGATTTGGTTCAGGAGGACGCTTGCTGGCCGCCAAGATAACCCCTCGGTGGCCCAAGACGTTCCAAGATGTTTCAAGGCGGCCCCCAGGGGCCACAAGGTGCCCCAGTGGAGCTCCCCAAAGGCCCCCCACAATCACCCCAGAGAGCCATAGACGCAAAAGCCATTCAGGTTTCTACATGCTCGGTAAATCTCGCGTCCTTCTCCTTCGGATTGCGTCGGGAGAGCTTCACATGGCCCCGAGGTTTTAGACGGCCCCACAACTTCGAAGAAGAGCCCAAGAGGGCTCCAAGCGGGCCCCAAGACCTTCAAGGCAGCCCGACCAGGAAGACCCCCAAGAGGCCCCTACACTCAGGCGAGATCGTGCCGTGTTCTCCCGCCAACCGCAGGTGGGTCATGTTACGTTTGCGTTTGTCGCCACGGCGGCGGGTTGCTGGTCTTTTTGGTTTGCCCGCTTCTGGCGACCCTGGGGCCCTGAGGACGGCCCCCTGGGAGCCGAAATCGTGCCCGAAACGTCGTTGTTGTTTCTGCCGCCGCCGCAAGTTTAGCTCATGCCGGTCTGGCTCAGGGAGGCCTCGCTTCCTTCAGGTGAGAAGGCGCATTCAGGTGACCTGCTGACAGCATGCGGGCGCGAATCTGACCAGCATGTCGAAGACTCCCATGACTCTGCCGAGAAGGCTTGGATTGTTATTCGAATTGCCCACGCTTTGTATCATTATCGTGACCATGGTTGCACTTTCTTTGCCACTGGTGGTTGCCCTGCGAGGCTGGCAGGGATGGAGCCAGACGATTACCAGTCCATCCGGTCACCAGGCGCGTAGCGGGGCCCTTGGGAAAGCCGACCGCTCTGATCCATATCGGGCCGCCCAAGACGGGGACGACGTACATCCAAAGGGTCCTGATGGCGTCGCGGGCCAAACTCCTCGGAATGAATATGGTGTATTACGTGCCGCCGGTGGAGGGACGTCACCAGCCAGCGCATCATTTTCTTTTGCATCCAGAACGAGACGAGACCGCAATGACAGCCTTCAAGGATAAGCTCAGCGAGGCAGTGGCTAAAGGCCAGCACGTGATCGTCAGCTCCGAGGCGCCTTCCCTCATGAGTCCAAAGTTGATGTCGTCGCTGAAATCTTTATTTCCGAAGTTTAACATCAAGGTGGTGCTCACTCACCGGCCATTCCTCGGTCGGGAGTGGTCTCAGTACAAGCAACACCTCAAGCAACACAACCCCCGCCAAATCGGCGTATCGTTCGCCGAATTTTATGGGAAGGTATCCCGATCAGAGACAGATGGCACAGATTTCTGCGGGCGTGTCGCCAGCAAGTATATTCAAGAATTTGGCCGTGACAGCGTTTTCATATTAGATTTTCTGGGGGCACAGAACGACGGCGACATTGTGAATATGCTGCTGTCTGCCGTCGGTTTACCGACTTTCGAGGAGCCGCTCGAACAAGTCCCCAACGGGCCAGCATTCACTTCCGACCAGGTTGTTTATTTCCAAATGTGGCACTTACTCGGGGAATACATGCGCGAGCATCACCATTGCCAATTGGAGGCGCCGCCGAGGCAAGAGCTCGTATACAAGGTTGATGCGATGTTCAAGCACCACACCATGCCGAAGAAGTGTTTGGACATGGAGCCGATGAAGAAATCTGCACTCAAAATGGATGCCAATTTCCGAGTTGCGTTTGGAGACCGCATTTTGCACTTCCGCCCAGATTTGTCAGATAATGAGACTACACATTTCAAGCGGATCTGCGAGCTAGACCACCAGATTGTCAGGATAGACTGGAATGATGCGTTCGAGAAGCACGCCGAAACTCTTTTGAGCAACTCATGCCAGAAGCAGTAGAAGCGGTGACCAGATCGAGTTGCACCTCAGGAGCGTCCGGTCGAGTGCAGCTGGAGGAGCCCCCGAAAAATCGGAATGAGAATTCATAGATTCTTCGGGTTTGCGCCACATCCGCCGACCCCTTAATTGAAGTCAATGATCAGATGGTTCGAAACCGTTTGGCGGTCGTTTTGGGGTTGTTGTCGGGTTTCCCGGGAGCTCTTCGGGGCCTGAGGGGGGCATCTTTGGGGCTGTTCGGGCTACTCCTGGGCTTGTCTTCGAGCTCTCTTGGGCTTCTTTGGGCTCTCTGGGCTCGTCTTGACGACCTCAGAAGCTCCCTAGACCGCCCCAATACGGCCCAGGACGCGCTCCAGAGGGCCCCAATACAGCCCCAGAAAGCTCCAGGACGGCCCACGAAGGGCCCAAGACGGCCCAAGAGAGTCCCCAAGACGGGCCCGAGAGGGCCCCAGAGGAGGAAGCCACCATCGAATTCCAAGCTTTCGACCCCAAGTGGCTCCAGGAGGCGCCAAGAAGCCCCCAAGAAGCGCTCGGAAGGTTTTTTTTGTTATGTTTTTTTGCATTCTCGCTGTTTCGTGTTTCTGGCGCACCGCCCAAGAGGCTCCCAAAACCGCTCCAGGACGGCCCAAGAGGCTGCCAAAAGAACCCCAAGACGGCCCGAGAGAGCCCCGAGACGGCCCTAGAGCCGCCCAAGACGGCCCAAGAAGGTCCCAAGAAGGTCCCCAAAGGACCCAAGAGAGGGAACGCGAACCGAAAAATCAAGCTCTCCGCCCCGAGATGCCCCCAAGAGGCCCCAAGATGCCCCCAGGAAGCCCCCAGGAGGCCCCAAGAGGCCCCCAAGAGGCCCGAGAGGCCCCAAGAAACCCAAAAGAGGCTCCAAGAGGCCCCAAGACGGCACCCAAAAGGCTTCAAAACTCTAAGAGGCCCCCGAAGACGTGCCAAGAAGGTCCCATGACGACTTCAAGAAGGAGTCCAGGATGCTCCGAGGAGGCCCCAAGAGACCCCCAAGAGAGCCCAAGAGGTCTCCAAGAGGCCCCCAAGCGACCTCAAGCAGCATCCAGGAGGCCTTGTAAGTCCATCAGGGACGTATCGATCATTTGCTTCACGTGTCATAGTGAAATGGAGAGTCGAACATGGCACATGTGAGTGAGAGCAGCCTGCGGTTGCCAGGACGTACTGCCCGAATGTCCGTGCTCAGTTTTAACTCCGAATGTCCGTGCTCAGTTTTAACCCCGATTCTGTGCAGCATGTTTGACACAGATATGATGTTTACCCTTTCTGGGCCAAAATGCTGCCGCCGGTGCAAGAGAATCCAGTGACGTGTACAAAGTGCACGTAGAAGGTAACTGCGCTTCGATATAAGCTGTTTTCGGCCCGTGAAGGCCGCAAAGTTTACGGCAGTAATGTATCACCCACAGCCGCGGAACAGAAGAAGCCGGTGCACCCGGCACCCGGCACCCGGCACCACCAGATCAGAACCTGCCTGGTGCCAGTGATATAACCTTTAGCAACGCTCTCGGCCGTCGGGCGGGCAACCGCACAATAGTCGGAGCGAGTTACTGCAGTAGCAAGCACGACAGTGGAGACGGGAGCGAGGGCTTCCGTAACCATTGTGGCTCAAGACGCGCCTCAGTGCACCCAGTCTGAGGCCCTACCAGGAAAAACGAACTCTGCTGGTCATCACTGTCATCGTTGGGAGTCCGCCGCGCGACTCCGGCTGTCGGGGATGGCGTCTTCCAGTGCGGGGCCGGGTGATGCGATCGTCTTTCTCCGCCGGGCCTCCCCAAACCCAGCCACGCGCTCCAACAGCCAGTTGACGAAGCATGCGGAACACCCCAGAAGCTCCTCAGATGCCGTCGCGCGCCTGTGCTTGATAGCGTTGTCCAAGATTGTCCAGCGCCCCCCCGGCCTGGGCTAGAACATGAGCTAGAACCGGAGCGCGCGCGATGGTTCTAGCCCAGCGCATTCGTAGCGTGGCTCGGGCGTGTGTTTTGGCCAAGTACTCATTCTGGCTGGCCAGCCTCGCCTGCCGCATTCTAATTGTTCTTTTTGCTTGATCAGCGCGCGTTTGGTGCGTTGATTGGCGGTTGGCGCGTATCTTGCGAACACGCTGCGGGCGTGTGTATTGGCCAAGCACTCATTCTGGCTGGCCAGCCTCGCCTGCCGCATTATAATTTTTCTTTTTGCTTGATCAGCGCGCGTTTGGTGCGTTGATTGGCGGTTGGCGCGTATCTGGCGCGTATCTGAAATTTCGAACCCTCCGCCACGAGCGGGCCCTCGAGGCCGCAGCAGGTACCCAGGAGGCCCCCAAAGGATCCAACAGAGGCCCCGAGGGCCCCCCCCACGGCCCACGAGCGGACACAGGAGACTTCAGTATTCGCTCCACGAGGCCCTCGAGAAGCATGCCACGAGACCCCGCGTTACAGGTATCTAAGAAGCCCCTGGCCCAAAACTCAGCTACGGTACTGGGAGGGGGAAATTATGGGCTTTTTCTGATTTTTCGGGTTCCGCTTTTTTTTCCTGTTTCCGACCCGTCCTCCGCGAAAAGCGCGGTCGGACGCGCAACCGGCCACGGGAACGGTATTTGCAATGGACCGTCTGGGAAGGGGGAAATTAAGGGCTTTTTTTGATTTTTGGCGTTCCAACTTTTTTTCCTGTTTCCGACCCGGTGCGAAATGCGCGCGCGGACGCGGGACTGGACACGGAAACGGTATTTGCAATGGGCCGTTTGGGAGGGGGATATTTTTTCTTTTTTTTTCTTCTTTTTGTTTGATTTTTCGGGTTCCTCCGCGAAATGCGCGCGCGGACGCGCGACTGGACACTGAAACGGTACTTGCAATGGGCCGTCTGGGAAGGGGAAACTATTGTTTTTTTGTTGATTTTTCGGATTTCCCTAGTTCCGATGTTTTTTTGTGAAATACGCGCGCGGTCGCGCAAACGGGCACGGAAATGGCGCTGGGTATAGGCCTCTTGGGAATGGGACGTTTTTCTTTTGAGGGGGTGGTGTTGTTTATTATTTGTGCATTGTTCTTCCGCGCGTTCAAATTTGAGATCGGTCCGTTCTGGATCGTGAATCGGTCCGGTTTAGATCGTGAATCGGTCTGCTTTGGCCTCTTGAATCAGTTTGTTTTAAGCCGTGAATCGGTCCATTTTCGAATCTTGAACCAGTCCGTTCTAGATCGTGAATCGGTCCGTTTTGGAATCTTGAATCAATCGATCCCCAGGGATTTTCAAAAGCGATCCTGTGATCACTTTCGGAATCCCTCGGAATCGACTCCCAGGGATTCTGGGGGTGATCCCGGGATCCCTTTTCGAATCCTTGGGAATCGATTCCCAGGGATTCCGAGGGTGGTGTGTGTGTGTGCGGTGTGGTGGTGGTGTCCCGCGGTGTCCCGTGGTGTCTCGTGGTGCGTCGTGGTGTCTCGTGGTGCTCGTGGTGTCTCGTGGTGCCTCCGTGCGTGTGGAGTGTGCGTGGTGTAGTGTGCTGTGGTGTGGTGTGTGTGTGTGTGTGGCGTGGTGTGTTTTGGCGGTGGTGGTGTGTGTGTGTGTGCGTGATGTGGTGTGCTGTGGTGCATCGTGGTGTCCCGTGGTGCCCCGTGGTGTATCGTGGGTTCTCGTGGTGGTCGTGGTGTTTCGTGGTGTCTCCGCGCGGGTTGCTTGTGCGTGTTGTGGTTTGGTGTAGTGTGTGTTAGTGATGAGCGGGTGCCCCTTTCACAGATGTTTCACAGATCTCCGTTCTGGTCAATATCCAAGGAGTCCTCTAGGAGGCCCACAGGGGGCTTTGGAAAGGTTTTTGATCAGTTTTTGAAAAGCTTTTGAAAAGGCTTCTTCTGAGAGGCTTTTGAACGGCTTCAGAGAGGCTTTTTTTGACTAGGCTTTTGAAAGGCTTCTGAGAGGCTTTTGAAAGCCGCCTGTTGGGACGCTTTTGAAAGGCTTCTCGGAGAGGCTTTTGAAAGGCTTCTGGGAAGCTTTTGAAAGGCTTCTGAGACGCTTTTGAAATGCTTCTGAGAGGGTTTTTAAATGCTTTTGAATCCACCCGAATCCTCCCAAGTCATCCCAAATCCACCCAACCCCTCCCTAAATTTCCAAAATCCACATATGTCCCTTCAAAAACACCCGAACACGTCGACGAGACAGGTCCGGTCCATGTTAGATCGTGAATCGGTCCGTTTTGGAATCCTGAATCAGTCCGTTTTGGGATCGTGAATCAGCCCTTCCGGACCAGATCGCGATTTGGTCCGACCGACCTGCAGACAAGACGAGTTTTGCCCGATTCACGATTCAGAATGGGCTCCCAGAAGCCCAACAGGAACCCCCACGTAACTCGCAAGACCCCACCCCCCGACGCCTCCCGAGACGCCCAAAAGGTTTCCCAGACAGCCCCAGATGCAACAACAAAAATGATACCGGAGAAAACCCCCAATCAGATTTGTGTTAGGGCTATAGAGCTATTGGGCTATAAGGCTATACGGCTATCGGGCTGTAGGGCTATCGGGCTATAGGGCTATAGGACTGTGACCTATAGGGCCATAGGGCTATAGGGCTTGACGACCTCAGAAGCTCCCGAGACCGCCCCAATACGGCCCAGGACGCGCTCCAGAGGGCCCCAATACAGCCCCAGAAAGCTCCAGGACGGCCCACGAAGGGCCCAAGACGGCCCAAGAGAGTCCCCAAGACGGGCCCGAGAGGAGGAAAGCCACCATCGAATTCCAAGCTTTCGACCCCAAGTGGCTCCAGGAGGGCGGCGAGCAGCACATGCACGGCCAACACAACCCACTGCCATCACGGACAGCATGGCCAGCACGGCCACCACGGCAACCGTCGTCACGGCCACCGCGGTCTGACGCGGCCACGGACACGGCCGCGGCAGACCACGGCGGCGGCCACGGCCAGCACGGCAGCCACAAGCACGGCCTGCAGCGTCCACGGACACGGCCGCCAGCACTGTTGGACATGGCGTTGAGCCACTGCGTCGCGCAAGCAGGGGGGAGGAAGAGGAGAAG